TCCTTCCTTCCTTCCTTCCTTCCTTCCTACCTTCCTTCCTTCCTTCCTTCCTTCCTTCCTTCTTTCTTTCTCTCTCTCTTTCTTTCTTTCTCTTTTTTTGTTAAAGCTCCATGTGTACATAGGATCCTGAGTTCAAACCCTAGTGCCACCAAAATAAGTGAACCGTGTATTTCAAATGTAGAGAATCCACTGGGCACCGGTGGCTTACACCCATCATTCTAGCTACTAGGGAGACTGAGATCTGAGGATCCCAGTTTGAAGTCAGTCCAGGCAGAAAAGTCTGTGAGATTTTTATCTCTAATTAACCAGCAAAAAGCTAAAAGTAGAGGTGTTGATCAAGTGATAGAGCAACTGACTTGAGTGAAAAAGCCAAGTGAGAGTGTGAGGCCCTGAATTCAAGCTCCAGTATTGGCACCAAAACCCAAAAAGAATCAAACAACAACAAAAACCCATGGAATGACTAGAAACTCAAATTTGAAAAAAAATTCTACTAAGATCTTTTTGGATTTGGTAGGACCTCTAACTTACAGGTTTCTTCCATAGTATTCTGTTAACATTTAAGTTTTTTTAGGATTGGGATGTAGCTCAGTGGCAAAACACTTGTCTCTCAAATGCAATGTCCTGGGTTTAATCCCAGTATCATAACAAAACAAAACAACAACAAAAAAAAACAGTTAAACATTAAAAAAAAAATGTTTCTAGGGCGGGAAGGTGGCTCAGTGGTAGAGTGCTTGCCTTGCATGCATGAGGCCCTGGGTTTAATTCTTCAGCAACACATAAGCAGAAAAAGATGGAAGTGGCACTGTGGCTCAAGTGGTAGTGCTAGCTTTGAGCTGAAGAGCTCCAGGATAGTGCTCAGGCCCAGAGTTCAGGCCCCACAACTGACCAAAAAAAAAAAAAAAAAGTTTCTAAAAAACATACTTTCAGGATAGTAGTCCTTTGTGATTCAATGCTTTAATTTTGTTTGTACCATGTTTTTTAAGTAGGAAATAAAAGTTATAAAACAGGGACAATACAGTCTCCATATTTTACCAATTTACCAGAATTAGTTGGTGCCAGGCTGGTGCCTCATCCATTGTAAGATAGTATGGTTGTCACACTTAAATCTGATTCTCTAGCTCTTTGTATGGCTGTCATTGTCATCGCCTTCGGGTGTTGCTAAGCAGCATTTCACTATAGCTCCTGCTGAGAAAATTTGCAGTTGCCTGTCAGCTCTGACTTACCTCGCCTGGTTAATGAGAATTATGTTCATGATCTTTCGTGGCTTCTTATTCCTTCTGTCCACTGACCCCATGTTGCTCAGTAAGTGATTGGTTTCTGTGTTGGTAGCCCTTTCCTGAAGCCCTTTTTTTTTTTTTTTTTGTCAGACATGTTTTTGTCTCAGGATGCGAGTTGGAAGGGGAAATGGTCTAGCAACTGATATGACTTGCTTTTACACTTATCTCCCTTTATTCCTAATTAGAGAACAATGGTGTTAGTCTGGTACCAAAATAATTTGTCCCATTAAATTGTCCTTTAGCTAAGGTTAGAATGTACCAGAACAAAAAAAAAAAACACAAGGAAATACTAAATTACATATAGTAATCTTACTGCT